AGGCAGACAGAGAGAGACGCACACACACATACACACACACAGAAAGAGAGAGGAGAAGAGAGAGAGAGAGAGAGAGAGAGAGAGAGAGAGAATTTTGCATCTATAAGTGTGTGTGTGTGTGTGCGTGTGCCCGCGCGCATGCTTGTTATATAACAACGTTTGCTTTTCTATCTTACATTACTGTAATACAGAGACGGACAACCCCTGTTTAGCAAACAGGGCCTTTTAATTCTTAATGTAATTTACAATATAACGAAGTAATGACAGTTCAATCTCTAGTACATAATATCGTAATGAAATCTTATTTGGATTATTTGTCCGTTACCTATCTATTGTTTAATTGTTAAAACAGAAGCACAACGACACAGCAATGGTCATTTAGAGCAGGGAAAAGGGAAGACAGACAGAGACAGAAAGAACAAATAGTAATAAAGAAAAAAAGAAAAAAAGAAGGACCTACCTGTGACACCTTCCAAGAACCCTCAACTTAATAGTTTAAGCATACAGTAATTTCAGCATTTTTGCCCTTGATGTTTCACACTGACTCGGTTGAGAGAGTTTCTGCAGCAAATTATATTGGATCAATGATGACCGCACCCAAGGAACCCTTTTTGAAATAAAATTGATTTTCAAAGATTCAAATGCTTTTGCATAAAAAAAGAACTTCATGTCTGGGATGTTGCGTTTAAATTGAAATGCGTTTTCATAATCATTTATCGATAGCATGCCCACGACTTTCTAACAAACTTCCTCGACTTCCCGTTCATTCCAATCCTCAATAACCCCAGGGACATGCAGGTATGCAGCCTGTTAACAGCATTAAACGAGTGTATTTGGCATTGTGGTCTCAAGTCTATTTCAGAACATTTTTGCTGCAATATCGAGAGGAAATATGAAGATTAAATGGTGCAGTCAGTTAAAAATACGTTGTTGTAGTTGTTGTTGTTGTTGTTTGTTGTTCTTGGGTTGGTGGTGGTGGTGGTGGTGGTGGCGGTGAAATATTAAGTCCTACAAGACACAAGGCAGGTAATTTCGAAAGCGAAGCGCTAGTCCCCGTTCCCACCCACCGGGACACCAAACGGAAATATTCCAGGAAG